GAGGAAGAGTGTCACATATAAGAAAATCTGATCTGAACCATGTTTAAAACATTAAATGTCAAGAATGAATATACTTTTACAGTTTAAACCATTATGATGACAATACCAAATCATATATGAGACATGATTCTCTAAAACTGTACTTGTTCAAATAATTATACTGGTCAAATATACCTAATATTTTGTTAATATGATATTGTAAGTATAACCTTTTATATAAGTTCACATGATGAAACAGAGTAATATGATGATTTAAACATCTAATCATATCATATACAATGTTGTTTTTCTTCAAACAACATAAATAAATCACTCTAGAAGAAAACTTCTACAAAGTACAATTTTGGGCGACGCCCACTAATGTTAAGCCTATGGGCAAACTTCAAAGGCTGTGGGGGACCCCTAAAAGTTGACTAAAAAATTTGAAAAAAATCACAGGTGATATTTACCCCAAAATGCAACTCGATTCATGTAGGGAGCATAACATTTCCAAAATAAAATTATTTTGAGCCACCCTAACAATGATGGATGCTAAAAAAATCCATGTAAAAGGCATAATACCTGGTCAACTAATCCTGCAAGAATCAAAGTAATTCCTTTGATAATTGCCTTGAAAAAAATTAGTGAATTTAAGAAAAAATGACATTTTAGCTGGGACTGATTTTATGTGTGACTATAACTGACCCCTATTGCTTTAAAATTTATCCCTCTGTGTTCATATATTTAGCATTTTAGAATAAATCTAAAATATAAAACTTATTTTAGCAAAGTTTTAGGAAGATTTAAGCTTTTTATCATGTTCAACTATTAAAAATTCATGAAATATGATGTCTAAAATTGATAAGTTATACATATACCCTTGGAAGACCCTTATAATTTCTTATTTATGAACATATTTGTACCAATATTAGTTTTATAGCTTAGAGAAATGATGTATGATATATCCTGGCTTGGCTTTCCGGTGGTTTGAACAATCTTTTAAGTGTTATCATTGAAAATTCATTCTTAAATCATAGGTCTGCAATCGATTAAATTCATGTATACCATTAGTATCATTCTACTGGTATGAGCATAATTGAACTAGCTATGATTTCATAGATTAGTTGTTTGATGTATGACATATTCCAAGCTGACTTTCTGGTGATTTTAACCATCTAAGAGTCTAATCATTGAAAACCATTACAAATAAAGGCCTAAACGGACAGTATTAAGGTAGACTATTAGAACACCCTTATTAATTCCAGGCTTAGAGTATATTGGTACCTACTCTGTCTCATAACTCGGAGGTTTGATATATGACATATTCTGACTAGTTTTTCTGCAGATTTGAACCACCTAACAGGTCTAATCATTGAATATACTTAATATACTAGGTCTAAAATTGAAGTATTCAAAAGATCCCTCTATTGATAAATTCAAAAAAGATTCAGAATGACATTAACCTCAACACTGGATCTGAATCAGAATTACAATTCTTCATAGAGCTGAACTAGGAAGACAAGGCTAATTTCATTCTAAGCAGCCTGACAATTGCATGACGTGAGAGGAAAAGTACCAATGATTCATACAAATCTTCATTTTATGGAGTTTTCTTCCCTGAACAATGTTAAGTCATATTAAAAAATCCCCCCCCCCCCCACTGTCCCCATTAACCTTTCTTTGTTACTCTTGGCAAATTCTTGACAAATCGCGTATACTCACTTTGACAACATTTTGAATTAGTGGGATGTTTCAGTTAATGAGAGTTTATACCAGATATGTCAATAAACATATCAGAGTTCCCAATAAAAACATAAGTGTGCCTAACACAGAACAATTCTCATTCATTGATGAACACCTTTGAGGTCTATATCTAACATAACATTCCTAATTTAATATGTGCACTTGGAAATAGAAACATTTATAATCATTCAACAACCAGAAACCCATTGTCATTCAAGAACACTCTGTATTTCAGTTATATCTATGACAGAAAATAAAATCATAAAAAACAGCAGACAAGGTTTACGGATTCTGATACTCATAATATCCCCCTCATGCAGTGGCAATCTCTAAAAACAAGTGGCCATGGTGCTAAATGGTTTTAAAAGCAGTTCTGTCAAATTTTAGAGAACTTGTAGGGATGTAATATGATTAAAACCAATAATCATTTGCAAGCACCATCACTCATCTAACATGATTGTGTGGGCTACCACCTACACTTAATCTAATCACAGTTGAAGTATCATGCACATTGTAATGTGTGTCAGAATTATACATCTGGGGTCAGGTTGGATTAACCCTCACAAGAGACAACCTCTTCAACATGCTTAAATTCAGATAAGAGTTTGTCATAGAATTAAGGATGACTTTCTAACTAGACTATAGTTTATAACTAGACTGTGTGCAATGTACCTTTCTGTCACCCGTGATGACATATGAAATACCAATGATAAGTCATTCTGTTGATTCCTCATAGTATGAACAAACAAAGACTGATATATTCTAGAAAATATTCTAATAAAAATGATATCTTAAGTCATCTTTTTTATGAAAACTATGTCGATTAATAAGCTTAAAGATGCATTATGCCATAGGTTTCTTCCCCAGACAATCAATGATGTCCTATTGTTATTGCTCATATAATATCTCACATACCATGGATATATCTTGAGAATAACTTTTGGGTATATTATTGCCGAGATGTCGGAAATAATCAACAGAACAACCAAACTCCAGAATTAAACACAATGGATTCCTCGGCTAGCGAGGGGAATCCCCATTGAGTTACACAAGCGCCCACAAGCGGTATATTCAAACTTCAGATTGAATTAATTTCTTCGAAAATAATTAGATAGGCCAGCACAATCGCAAAATTAACACTGAAAGAGGGGGATTTGGGACTTCTCCTTTGGTAAGTAGATGGGTATATATGTGGTGAAACTCAATATGCAAAAAACTCCAGAGGGGTATTGATTATGCTATCCTATGGCATAGAGCCTCTTTAATAAATCCAAGACAGTGGATTGACTCATTTAGGTTAATTTATTGCTGATCACCTATGTTCAATGGGAACTCGTAAATATCTACTAATAGAAGACATCCCACAAAATAACTACAATCTACTGACACATTTAGCAAATTTATTATACTTAAATCCCACTACAGAATACTTAATTGCTTTTTACATCTCCACTATCTGTGTTTGTATAATATGCAGATATATATGAATCGAGAATTCAGTTCAAGAGATCCTCAGAAGAAATCAAGAATTTTAGATGAAGCAAGGGCTATCAACGTATTTGGCAAACAGGCTTTTACTTAAAGTAAGCGATCGTACAATTTGACATTAACAAGGTACCTCAGAACAAATTATTTACTTATTCTACCAAATTAATATAGTTAGAGTTTATATTTGTTAAAATGTTACTTTAACATTTATTGAAAATTTTTGAGTCTAATTTAGTATTATTGATGTTAAGTGACAGCTGGTTTATTATACCTCTCAAAGTGATCACCTACATAATTCAAGAGATGGCATGCTAATATGGCAAATATTGTGAAAAAAATGAGTATATTACAATGCCCTCTATTCTGTTTAACCAAGGGCGGTACAATACCCGGAATTTTTCTGTACAAATTGAAACCAATGTTGTCGCTTTATCATTTTAAAAGGCTTGATTTTTTCTTAAATAATCATATACAATCAATAAATCTTTTATAGACTCCCTATCTATTGAGAAATCATCGACTGTGTGGCGATTGTGTTGTGTGACAAGGCTCGACCCAGACTGTCAGGGAAATCCTTTATGTTAATTAGTATCACGTGATATTTTCCAGGGAAACCCAAATAATGGCACACTAAATTGCTAAACTGGTTTGTGAAATTTGATTTGATCGAGACTAAGAAAAAAAGTGTTCACAATGAGAAAAAGTAAAGTTTTTAAAAATTTAAACTCGGGTGGATGGATCCGCCGGCAGTCACTCGGGATAGTAAAGTACAGGCACATACACTCGCCGGCAGCATGCTAAAAGTTAAGTTGAAGGCCCTGGGTTGCACCTGTGATGAAAATTATTTTAAATATCCCTCCCCATAATTATATTCAATAATTAGTTATGCATGGGTGCGCAGCTCATCCACTGAAGAAATGAAACTACCCTCTAAAATCACCATGTATTGATTTTCCCTTGGTTTAACCATTGTCAGTTCCCACGTTCAATCACTACGTTCTATCCCGTGGGTTCATATGACAAACTTGAGACTCAAGTAATATGTGGCGACTCATTCGAAGAAATGCTTCACGGAGTACGCGGGAAAGCCTGTGCGCCAATCACAGTTGAGGAAATTATTTAAATTAGGCCCCTGAATCAGTATTCAGAAAATAAAAATAAAAATGGAGATTCTGTTTGGAAAAATTTGCTCTAAATTTCATCTGATCCTGAATTCTTTGAAACCCTATCAAAAAGTAGCGATTGAGGCAATAAACAACGACAGGGATGTACATGATGTATCCGTGTCACAGAAAACTGGACAAAGGCCCTTCCTTATGGATAATGATATTCAAGACAGCGCATCAGCTGGGGTTTGTTAATTTAGTGTATAACCATTAATTTGTCGTGAATCAAGGTGAGGATAGGTCCGAAGCTTGATGAAGCAAGATGCGGTTTAACACAAACATGAAAACCATAACTGCTGTATCCTTGTTTTTATTTCTACTACCAATATGCCATCTATCTAAATTGCATAGGATCAAATCCATGTATGAGTCCTTTAAATGATGAAGAGCAGATACATATTAACTCCTTACATGTAATAGCTTCATAATATACTGTTTAGGTTTAATAAGTGGCAGCCAACAGAATCTCCTGCTGTTTTAACATATTCTTTTGAAGTGTTTCATATTAAGAAGATAATAATTTCCAGTAATTTTGCCTCTTGTTTCTATTCATTTTCACTGCTGTTGGTAATTTCAATATCCTAGTAAAAAACAAAATTTTGAAATATATATCTAAAAGCTTACGTCTTTTCTGTGAAGCAGCTTGTAATATTGCAGTTACAAGATCATAATTCTTATGAAGTTTTGCGATACGTCTGTCACGCCTCTTCAGTTGTCGAATTAGCCTTGCTGAGATCTGATTGGTCCGATAACGTAGTTCATCGATGATGGTTCTAAGTTCATCCACATCTGAAAAAAGAGGAATACCCTCCATCAAATAATAATTCAATCGATTACAGTGAACAATTTGAACTTGGATAAGGTTGGCTCATTGGATTTGGACATGTTTATGTATGACACACAGGCTAATCTGGGGGGAGGGGTCGAAGCTCACAATTTTCACCTAGTAGTAATTTAGCTACTTGCCCAAAAAATCTGGTAGCTATTTTTAAAATCTCGTAGAACAAAAAATCTAGTAGAAAAATATAGTTTTCACTGTGTTTGAAATAAAAAGCACCAAATGCCCTTCATACTACTTTTACAGTCAATAGGTTAAGCTAGAATCTATTTCATTTGTTAATTTTGTACTTGGATAAGGTTGGATAAACACTGCTTATACTAGCATCAAATATTCTCATAAATATAGAAATAATGGGACTGAAAAAGCATCCACATTATGAAATTTAGCTGAATATTAATACAATAACAAATTCGTTGTTTAGTATACAGGACCAGCTTGACCTTTTCAACCCATTCAGACTACTAGTGCAGAATTCAATATTTGTGTTATCAAGTAACAACAAATTAATATCACTTTGCTTTAGAAAACCATATTACCATAAAGCATACACAGGCTTGATCAGATAGAGATGAAATGCATTAAAAGGGGATATGTTTCAAAGATTGAGAATTACAATATTTACATTATTATGCTACTTAGAAAAAATTTCAAATATCCTTTGATATACTTATGAGTATGAGTCATGCTGTACTTATACAAAAACAATGGACTTGTATGTAGCATATTGTATCAATGAATGAATGAAATGTTAAATCAATACCAATATATTCACCATACATATTACAATTACACTGTTATATTCATATTATTCATATAGAACAATCCTACTGACAGTTGATAATTAACTTTTTCTAATTTTTATCATCATATAGTTGATCTTTAGCCCAAAAACTGATGAGCAAAGGGTTGATGCAATAGAGGGAAGGGTTTGAGAAGTAAGGAGGGGCGGAACAGTACAGAGTGGGACAGTATGAGAAGGAAGAGGAGTGTAGTGTGGAGGGAGTAAATAGTAGAGAAAATGGATATGGGAGAAAAGGGATGAGAGAATTGAGGCAATGGTGGGGGTTAGGATGGTATATGGTGGGGGTTAGGATGGTATATGGAGGGGGTAAGGCAGTAGAGGGAGTAAGGCATTAGTAAGTAAGGGAATTAAAAGGCATTGATAAGGGTTAGAAAGAGAAAGCCATGAATTGGCACTAAACGACAATAATATCATTCTGATACTAATCACATCTTTCTGCCTTCAACTAGAAATATGGCAATCTAGAAAGAAGCTAATAGAAGACCATGGTTTCACATGATGTAATATGGTTTTGCTTGAATTTTGGGATACAATGTTAATGTTTATTATAAAATTGCTAACATGATGCAACTACAAAGATAAATATAATAGTTATTGAGGCAAAGGAATGGTTGAAACAGCATAAATCCTTATACTGCAGTAACTGTGCATACAGTAATAAATCTGCTGCAATAATGTCAGCTTGACATCTGTAACATAGCATCAACAAAGCAACATAAGAGTATTATATCAAGCCTTTATATTTAAGTCAATTGAATAAGAACATGTATCTTTATACTGTATATCTGTGACTTACAATTGCTTATATTTAGACACATGGTTGGTTAGAGACACTTTCAATATATTGCACCATATGTATATACACATACTTCTATTTTTAAATTGAATTAAATATTTTTTGGGATAACACTGATGAAGAGGCTTTGATTGATTAAAATATTTTGAGTATGTGGTTGCCCTAGAGTCTGGTTAAAAAGTAACAACACTCTCTTTAAGGAAGTGAAGTCAAACGAATACAAATGGTAGTTCTAATAAGGAAATATTCTGTTGAAGGAAAAGGTTAAGTTCTCCCAAAGATTTAATGGACCACCCCTTGCATACAGAGCAATATTTGATATTGTTTTAATTATTTTGTTTTAATTTTAAATATATTATGGGAAATGAAAACACATTGTGTTCAAAAAGCCACACTCAATGATAACAGTAAATGGTAGAAATATTTGAATGACTTCGCAAGATTTCAGGTACGCTGAGAAATTTTGTCAACTTTCATTATAGATGATTACTCATATGTAAATGATATTGATTTATAATGACAGTATCCACAATTCACAATTCACCTAAGTAACATTTGAGACATCAGTGTGAAGGTAATGCCTTGGTCACATTTGCTTAGATTTTCACTACAGCGCCCGGCCGATTGAGTATTTTGTTCAGAAATTATTCAATTTTGAACAAAATATTCGATCAGCCGGGACCCGAGCGATGAATCGCCGCAAATGTGACCCAGGCAATTAGGGAAACAGTCCACCTGTTGAATATGCAATCACACAGCTGGCTCCCCATGAGGTACCGTTTTTAATAGTTTGATTTTGTTTCTTTAAAATGTTCAGTATTATTATTACTTCTGGCCTGTAGGCCTCAGAGTGTGGCATATCCTGATTTCCCATTTCAAAGTATCAATAGTCACCTAATTACACTTAAGATAGTATTGCATTGAAACATCCTCCCTTCTCTGGCTAAGGTGAGGTAGAAAGAAGACAGGGGGTTAATACAAGGTTTTTAGAATGTCGACACCCTGCTGGAAATGATAAAATAGAAAAGTTTTCTACCTTGTAACTGATAGATATAACCTTCATTTAAAAATTACATTCTGTTTTAGAACAGCTACTGATCAACTTGTCTCTTAACCATTAGATGCCTTACTTGTATTATCTTTCCCACAGGTGACATTTTCCCATATACAACTTTACTAGAAACACATACTCTCACCTGGGATCATTGGATAAACTATGAGTACTGGGTTTTAGGAGGAATAATAGCCAAGGTACTTGGCCCGAGACTATTGGTTCTCCAAAGACCCAGTACGAATGGTTTAATCCCCACACTGACTCTTATGAAAGCTAAATGGCCCATGGAAAATTTGATTTCTTTTGCATTGACTTAATGAGGTAAGTGTTTTGAGAAGTGAGTGGGTGTAATTAGTTTAACTTCAATGCACTGCATGTGACAGTGAATTGTCTTATGTGCAACACTTGTTTTGGATAGCTTGCCAAGTGTAACCTCTTTAAAAACAATAGAAAAAAGAATGCACTCTTCTTTCTAACAACTGTATATTCTTTAAAATAAAGTACAATTTATTGAACTACATTCTAGTTTCTGCCGAGAAAGGATTCTGTTTGCTGCCTTGGGATAAACATTGAAAACCTTGCAACCTTGCAAAGGATAGGTATCGATATGGTGAACTGAATTCAACAATGTTTTTCTCTAAAACCAATTATTGAAAACATTCTGTAAAAAATATGGTCCTTTATGTAATGTTGATTGATTGGCAACAATTTGATGCAAATATTATTTATATATATTTTATATAACTGTTTTTGTTAATGTTTTTTGTTCTTTAGTGCAATTGTTTTTTGTTCCTTTCTACTAATTCTTGAGAATGAAATAAAATGTCTTTCCGAACCTTGCTGGAACAAAATAGCATATACAACATTTTCTTAGACCTCTCAATATGAAATATGAAATTTGAAATTGATCTACAAAACGGTTCACCTAAAAACGCATAGACAAGACTTTACAGGCAAGATTTTAAGACGGAAAAACCAAAATGGCTGCCTTGACATTTATCCAGAATGCCAAAAAACTAATCAGATCTAGATTTTCATACTAAGAATCATCCCTGAAAATTTGAAATTGATCTACCGAAGTAAGCTTGGCAATTTACTTATACAGTGAAACTTCACTTAGAAAACACTCTTCTGTAAGGAACACTTACAAGTCAATACAATTCATTACAACACTGCAAACATCTCCTTCACACGAGCCTTCAATTTTTAAAAATGATCTCTTGTTCTAATTTTTTTTTCAAAATTATCACATATAACTACTGTTAACAATAACATAGGCTTTTACAACAAAGTACACCTAAAATTATTTATAAAGCTACTAAATAGTTAAAGTATGAAAACTCAAAAACACCATTCAATATGATACAAAGTATTATCGCGCGCTAACTTTTCTTAAGACGTTCAAAATGGCTGACATGACTGAGATAACAGGTCTAAAACCTAATCAGATGTAGAATGACATCCACATCTGTATGCACTTATAAGTTATCCCTGAAAATTTGAAGGTGATATCCCTAGCGGTTTTGGAGAAAACTGCCGGACAGACAGACAGACGGACGCCTAGGCTGACTATATGGCCCCACACTATGTGGTGGGGACATCTATATATAATTCAAATTACAATGTTACCATCCAAAAGATGACCAAAAGAAAACAGCTTTAATATTGATATAAACAGGGCTAAAAGGCACTAAAATGGGGTTATGCAAGGTTGCATTCTGAAGACAACTTTTAACTATTTCTTTATTTTATACCAAATAAGTGCATATTTCATTATCAAATTATTTTTAAAACCTCAATATATTGATAGAAATGGGGCGAAAGGCACTCCGTAAAGTGAGGTTACACTGAAGGTGGTATTCTAAAGACAACGTTTACTATGCTTCTGTAATAATTTGACATAACGAAATGCATATCATGTATGATATAATCTTCTATATTAATAGAAACATGGGCAACTGCCGCTTCAATGGGGTAACACAAGGTGATATTCTACCTTTTACTCTGTTTCTGTACTTTATACCACACAAATGCATTTTGTGTTTGATATCAATCAATTTTTAGAATAAATAACTACATCTCTCAGCAATAAAAAGAAGATTATTGAAAATGTCAAACATTTCTTTGAAATCCAACAATGCACAATGATTTTTTTAGAGTGAAATGCATGCTTAATTGGCATTGATCTGAGTATATTACGAAATTGAAGCTCTTTTAAGATAAAATATATGTATGTGGCCTATTATGGACAACTTTTCACTGTGCACCATGTCACAAGACCTTTATAAATTCTAAT